CAGTTTTTCAAAAAGAAAAGAGGATATAATAAGGAGGATGGAAAGCAATAAAGTCCCAGTGCAGAGCAAAGTTGCATGACTGTTTCTTTATTTCTGCCCTTGAAAAATGTTAGCAGAGAATTATGTCTACAAATGGCTTCATCTTTTTTTCTCTTACTGTAAAAAGGATTGCGGTGTAAACATACGTTAAAAATAAAGGCCAATTGTACTTTAAATAGTTGGTAGGATCTATACCAGGGGTAGGCAACCTTGGCTCATTTATAACTCGTGGACTTCAACTCCCAGAATTCCTGAGCCAGCCATGGGAATTGAAGTCCACGAGTCATAAAAGAGCTGAGGTTGCCTACCCCTGGTCTATACATATATCGCAGGGGCAGCACAGTGGCTCAGCAGTTAAGATCCTTGTCGGCTGGGGAGTCGACAGCCCAGGTTCAAGACCCGAGCACTGCGCAATGGGGTGACCTCCTGTTCTCACTCCAGCTTCTGCCAATCTAGCAGTTTGAAAGCATGCATACTGCTTTGGTGGGAAAATAACAGCTCTCTGTGATGTCATGCTGGTCACATGACTGCGGAAACATCTTCAGACAGCACTGGCTCAATGGCCTTGAAACAGAGATGAGCACCGCCCACCGCCCCCCATAATCAGCTATGATTAGCAGAGTAAAGTCTGCAGGGACTCCTTTTATACTTATACAGAATATCACATATGGGCTACAAAATTCTGGAACAATACTAGGTGGCAGTAAAAAGTTGGATTTTTTTGTTTTGCTTTTTTGTATCCCTGCCATCTCATTATTATTATATTTATGTTCAGCTCAAATTTGGTATTCCTATAAATTATTATTTATTGTTGTTGTTGTTGTTAGCTGCGAAGTCGTGTCTGACCCATCGCGACCCCATGGACAACGTTCCTCCAGGCCTTCCTTATAAATTATAGGACTACTCATAAAATAAAAATATGTTTTAATTATGAGCTCACGGTACAGCAAAAAAGACTAAGGGATATTAAGGATGAATGTAGTGTACAACACTTCAACTTATAAGTTACAAAGATGAAGCTGGCTTCTAATGTGGTTTCTCTAGAATTGTTATGTAAAATGAACGTTTTCACAAAGGTAGAAAGCATCTTCCCAAACAAGTAAACGTGGAGAGCCTGTGTAGTGAGGGACTGTATGCCCAACTATGCTGGCTGACTGCAAGGGGTGTGTCCTGAAGGTGGGTGATTGCTTTTTGTAGATGATTGAGTGACTGCTCCCTATTGAGTAAGCAGAGGCTGTAGGGAGGAATATGTGGAAGTCACATTCCAGGAACAAACCAATTGAGCTAGTGGACAGAGAAAGTAAACAAGAGTTTGCCAATAGAGTTAAAAAGGAGTCTTCAACCATTTTTCTAAGTGGATAGTCTAAACTTGCCTAACCTGAGAAACAAGAAGAAATAAAAACCTTCTACTGATAAGAAATAAAAGTGAATTATGAATGGATAAATACCTCTGCAGTCATGTCCTATAAGTTTAATGGCATGCTTGCATTCATAGCTGGATGCATATATGTGCAGAAAATGAACATTTGTTGTACTGCTTTAAGAAAAAAGAATAAAAATTAAGAATGTTGGAGTGATGACTATCTACCCTAAACAGATGAGAAAATATAAAGACCTACTAGATCAAACAGGGAACTGCTGGCAGAGGAGCCAATTCTCCCAAAAGAAAAGAATCGAATGAAGAGTAAGTCCGGTAGATGAAAGTGATAACGAGAAAAAAGCAATGTGGAAAGTGCTATACATGTTTTCATCTGAAAGAAACAGATTCTGAGCATTCAGGAAAACAAAAGAAAGCACAATAGAAAAAGAGAGAGGATGCTAGATTGAGGCAGTAGATGTAATTGTTTCCTGAAAAAAAAATTAAAGAAAAGAAAAAAAAGAGAGGGAGGGTGAGAGAGAGAGAGAAGAGAAGACTCGTGGTAGATGGTGACTCACTATTGTAAGACATTGAAATAACTGTGTGAATGGATACATTGGCTTCTGAAGTGTGCTGTCTGACAAGATCAAGGATTAGGAATGTAGAAGAACAACTTCCAAGACTTATCAAATCCAGTGACAATTATCTTTTCTTGTTAATCCACATGGGGCCAAATGATAGGACAAAGAACAGCTTCAGCAACTATATCTGTGGACTTTAAAACTCTGGGAAGAAGACTGAAACTGAAAAATACAAGAGACTCAGTTTTGCTCTCATCCATCCTTCCTGTTGGTAAAGAAGACTGGAAAGAGAAAGAAGATTATTGCAAATGAATAACTGGCTACACAAACAGGATCAGCAGGAGAGATTTGGTTTCTGTGGCCGTGGTCTTAGTTGTATGGTTGATGGATTATGTCACAGCATGAGTTTCATTTCATAAGACCTGAAAAAAAGTTGATAATGGTTTCCTAGCCAGATTACAGAACTTTCAGGAAGAAGAAATATAAGTACTATCATTAGAGACTTTAACACAGGCGTGTCCGACCTTTTGGCTTGCCTGAGCTGCACTGAGTGAGGAGGAATTGTCTTGGGCCATATATAAAATATATAATATAGTTAATATAGATAAATAAGAAACTACCGTTTTTTAAATACTTTTGTTACAATTTTGTGGGGCCACATTACTAGCTGTCCAGGGCCACATGCGGCCCACAGGCTATGGGTTGGACATGCCTGCTTTAATTATCCAGATAATTCTTGGAAAATCAACTCAGCCAAAGCTGCAAGATCAAAAATTATTCATGAAGCTTGCTTACTGTTTCATATTCCTGAAGGCTGAAAATGAGGAACAAAGAGATTGGCTCTCCTTCAGATTATGCTAACTAATAGGGAGAAACTAGTTAAATATATCATGTTAGGCTTCACAATACTGTAGAAAGGGAAATTGGAGCATGCAGGTAGTCCTTGCTTAATGACCCCAGTTGGGATTGCAGATCCGCTGCTAAGCAAAGCAGTTGCTAAGTAGGAAATCTTATAACAATGTCAGCTTTCCAGTTGGAAAGATACAAGACCACTGTACTCAGTTTCACATCTTTGATTTTTGTTTATCTTCTAACCACTTCTCCACCCTTTGGAATGCTCGAGTGCCTGCTTACTGTCTTGTACACATTAAAAGCAAAGCAGTTGCCCCGTTGTTCAGGGATGGGAGCCATGGGCATGTCACACAAACAGTCTCTTGAAATCCCTTTGTCTCCAGTCTCCCCATTTTAGGAGGCGGAGAGAAAAAAGGCAAGCAATTTCTGTTGGCAATTTCTCTTTTGCCCAACCCTTTCAATACTCTTAATCATATTGTTCTCAATATGTAGAAAAGTAAACAACACACTCTCTAGAAATCCCTTTCTCTCTAATCTCTGTTCTGCAAGTGCAGGGAGAAAAACAATAGAGGTCAGGCACAGGACATGTACTTTACGGACTGTAGTGTTAATCACATGACTGAAGAATGCTGTTAAGTTTGTAAATAGCCTATAAAGTTATTTTTTCAGTACCATCACATAGTCATACACTAGATATCATTTAAAGGTCAGAAAATCTCCAAAATTGGAAATTTCTCAGAAATAAGATATTGGGACTACAATATTATTGCACACCATTTCAATAAGACAAAAAAATGGAAAGCAGCTTAGAAAATTATTGTGCAGGAATATGAGCTACATACAATTGTTACATACAATTGTCTTGAAGGAGCTTGCAAGTGTAACCTTTCTTCAATCTTTGATAAATTCTGAGTAATAGGTGTAGTGCCAAAAGATTTGAGAAAGTCCTGTGTTTTATCCTCAAAAGGGGGAAAGATGAGCTGTGTACTTGCAAACTGATCACCTTAATATCAATATAAGACAAAATTTGCAAATAGTTATTAGGCATTTAGAAACTAATGAATCTCTTAGCAGAAACCTCCAGGGGTTGATCAAGAGCAAATCATGCTAAACTAATCCAATCAAACCAACAACCCAACTACCAACCCCAGCTACTAATATTCAAGCATATCTCAAACTAACCCAATTTCCTTTTCTGACAGAATGCAGGATGCTCATGAGGATGCAATACATAATAGTACACCCTGATTTCAGGAAAACATTCGGACAAGTGAAGATAACATTAAAATTGGTCTGGGCTATATTGTTATTAAATGGTTGAGGAAGTGCTTGAACAATTGTCCAATTAATGTATTTAATTGGCTCTACATCCAAGTGGAGGTATTGAGTACTGCAGATGCATGTTTTAGCCCTGCCTTGTTCACCCATATTGGTTAAGTGACTAGAGTGGAGGGTTATAATAATAAAATAACAAAATAATGATAATAATAATAATGATGATGATGATAATAATAGTAATATAATAATCAGAATAATAATCAGAATAACAGAGTTGGTAGGACCTTTGAGATCTTCTAGTCCAACCCTCTGCTCAAGTAGGAAACTCTATGCCATTTCAAACAAATGGTTGTCCTATCTCTTCTTAAAAACCTCCAGTGTTGGAGCATCCACAACTTCTGGAGACAAATCATTGCACTGATTAATTGTTCTAACTGTAAGGAAATTTCTACTTAATTCTAGGTTGGTTCTGTCCATGATTAGTTTCCATACATTGCTTCTTGTTCTGCCTTCAAGTGCTTTGGAGAACAAGTTGACTCCTTCTTCTTTGTGGCAGCCCCTTAGATATTGTAACACTGCGATCATATAATATCTAATTAGGTTAAAAATATAACTGTCACATTTGCAGGTGTCTCAAAGATAGAAAGGATATAAAATTATTTATTATTTAATAGTATTTATGTTCCATATATATTTTAGGCTGCAAATGACATAATTCCAATGCAATGGAATTAAAACAATTAAAACAAAAAACCAGGCATAAACGGGGGCCAAAAGTAAAGCAGATCTCCAACTGATTCTTGCTAGATGTCTATTGTCTATTGTCTTGCTAGATGTCTATTGGATGGGCCAATTCTTTTTTTTTTTTTTTTGCAAGTTTTTTCTTGATATATCCTGGCACTGTGCCAAATAGAGCCTCAAATTAATCTGAGGACTGTGTCAAGATTCAAAAAGTTGTTGAAAAGATGGGATATGGGGCAAATCCCAGCAAGGTGAATTTTCACAGAGGCATACATGTGCAGACTTACATTTCAGTAGGAAAAATCGAAGGCATGAATATAGGCTAAAGGAGAACACACTGAGCAATGCTACACATGATAGGAATCTGAATATTCTGATAGATCATATGGTGAATGTGAACCAATAGGGTGAAGCACCTGACAAAAGCAGTCCTATTTTTTTTAATGAGAGAAATAAAATACCAAGGTTAAGAAAAGTAATTATTTTCTGTTCTGCATAAGTCAGAATAAGACTGTTGCACCTAGTTTCACATTTTAGGAAGGGCATTGGCAAACTATAGCATGTTCAGTGGAGAGCAATCAAAATGACAAGAGACCCAGAAGAACAGTGTATGAAAAATTGTTGGATGTATAGGTATTTTTAACCAGAAGAAAAGATTGCAAGGAATTGTGACAATTATTTTCGTGTATCAGAATGGCCATCATGTAAAGATAGGGGAGAATTGTTCAGTTGTTCTAAATCCTGGGTAAGAAACAAGGGAATTTAAATATGGAAGTATATTTAAATTTGCAGATAATACAAAATTGGGCAGGGTATCTAATAACCTAGAAGAGGGAAGTAACACTGAAAGCTATATTATAGGTCAGAGACATGGGCTGAAAATAACTAAATAAAATTTAAGGGAGATATGCAAATTTCTTCACTTAGGAAATAGAAATAAAAGTTGGCAGGTAAAATGTCTGAGAATGTGTGGGCACCTGGTTGGATAATAACATGTATGAAAAGAATATTAGAGCACAGTTGATCACAAGCTGAACATGAATTAGCTATGGCCCATGGCTGCTAAAATGGCTATTCACAACCAGATCATGTTCCAAATCCATTTCACACAATCTCCACCAGGATGGCCAAACTTAGTGGATTATGGGAATTCTTCTAAAGCTCCTTTTCTCTGCAGTTTAGTTGCATACATGCAGTAATTCTGGGTCTGGATTTTTATTAAACTATCATTAAAATGTTCTTGGTTATACTTTATATTTTCAATCAGAAGAAGCATTATTATATTGTGTTTTGTACTTAATTGTTTTTATATGATCTTTAATTAAAAAGTAATATGTTGCTATCTTCCAAATAGGAACCTTTAATATGGAGCAGAATTCTGAACAAAAGAAGGATGTCTCTTTTTCTGGTTGCCTGAGTTTTCCAAATTCTCCAGCAAGATTGCAGCCTACAAGACACTCGGCCATTTGGACAAACAAAGAAATAGTCAACTTTTCAGATCAACCCATAACCAACTTAAATGTTATACAAACAGAATATGCTAAGACTTTGCATTTAAAGAATATTGCTGTGCCTGACAATGATGAAAGGATAAGGTAAGCTTTCATTCTAGATTGAACACAATATACTCTATGTTTTTTACATTACTCTTTTATCTTTTCTCTCAACATTAAAAAAATGCTTAAGGAGTTAGAGACAGAACAGTTTCACAATTGTGGATATACCAGGTTCCTTTTGAGAAGTAGCATCGAGAATGCTTCATAATTCCTCAAAATTTAACACCCAACCTTTCTTTCCATGCCAAGGTTTGCATAGTATGTATTGTGTTGTAATATTAATTAGGTGTATAATGTATTAACATAGTGTTGGTCAAATAGGTAAAATCAAATTGATGAAATACGAATAGAATGCCAGTAAACTTGAATCAGTAATTAGCTTTTTCTCACGTGATTATAGATTGAAAATATATGCACCAATGTTCATATTATGTTCATATTTTTATGTTAATAAAGAGCTAGATAATCTTTTGGGGAAGTTGAAGGGCAACTTTGAACGTTGACATCATGCCATGATTCTATCACAAAATGGCAGCCTGGTGATGCCTTGTCTTCACACAATTCAAGATAAGCTTCAATTAATCACACACCTCCCATTAACCAGTGGATAAATTGGTGTAGTTGATCTGTTTCAGCAACCCGCAAAAGCTTTTTACCAAAAGGTAAACATAAAGATATAATTGAATTGAGCTTGACAGCATCCATGCATTTTTCTTGGTCTTATTAAGGAAATTAGTTCGTCCAAGATGTTCCTTTTATTTTCCAATCTAGTCTTTGATCCTGTTATCGACCACCTCTATCAAACATCTTAGGTGCTTTGCCTGCTGAGGCAATTTACTTTAGCAATTTCTAGCTTCCCTTTATATATGTTTGTATGCTTAGGTGGGCCTGTTACTGAATATGGCCTGGACAGTCAAGAAAAGAAAGGAAAAACAGAGACATAGACAGCACCTTAAGAAATATCTACCTGGATTTTAATAGCTATAGTCTCTGCCTACTGTTGAACACAGAAATGAAGGAAAGCTATGTCACTATGGCAGCTCAATATAGTATCATTTAAAAAAAAATAGGCATACCCCTGGTGTTACTATTTTGAATCGGAATCAAGGGTTATATCCAACACTATCTTCCAGAGTACATTTGAAGGAGCTCAGAGGAAGAAGAGTAAAATGAAATACTGTTCCAAGAAAAGTCCACTCAAATAACATTAGGTGATATCCCCATTCTTTCATTAAGAAACAAGCATGCTCAGTTCCTTGTAAGTTGTTACAACAGTTGGCAACCACATTATAAGCTGTTACATATAAGTTGTTTGTGAATGGCTTGGGAAAATCCACAATAAGTCCATTTGTCTATTTCCTGGTTCCATAGCACACCTGCTAAGCCTTTAATATGAACAGTTCTCTGGTTTTTGTTTTCATATCATATATTGTATATTCTAATTTTTTCTTTAGGCCACGGGTATCAAACTCACCGCATCACTTGACGTGTTGCGACATATTGCAACCTTTTTTTTTGCATTGCTGGAGCTGGGATGGGTGCTGCCTCCACATGATGCAACTGGCTCATGGGCCGGCAGTTTGACACCCCTGCTTTAGGCCTTTTAGGTTCATCTCTTTTTCGTTTCTGTTACTTCTTCTCAATAGCAGTAGCAAGTGATGTGGGTTTTTTTTTTTTTAAAAAAAACTTTGTTACTGAGATTTCTTATTTTATAAAATTTTTATTAATTTTTCAAGTTAAACAACAAATAATACAAATATGATGCATTTACTTAGAACATAAGCAAAAAAGATAATCCTACACAATACAATTTCGGAGACGCTTGGCAGACCCCGCCTTGCATCCACCCTCATTCACTTTCCACTTCCTTCCTCCGCCTAAACCCACAACCTCTCCTCTTTCCTCCTTTCCACCTCTCTACATCCCATCTCCCTTCTTAACCACCTCCTCGAGTGCATTTACTGAGATTTCTAAGAAGTAGAATTGAAATAGGTCAATCTGCATTTTACTGTTTTAAATGTAATAGATCTGATAAGATGCAGTGACTGCCATTTGAAGCAGTGGCAGTATTTGATATAAATTGTTTCAAAATCCAGGACAGATTTCTGTCATTTCATGACAGATGCCAGGAAATGAACCTGGATTCACTCTAGGTATTCCGCACTCAGTGATGACCCTGTATTTGGCCCATGTGTGAGTGATTGGAAATCCTTTTGAATCTATCAATTTCTCTTTCCTTTTTTTTATACAGTACTTCTACTGAAAAACAAGAAGAAAAAGTCAACTCTACAACTGCTAAAGTAGATAAAGAAAAGAACATTGCATTTCTTTTAAATGAATTGGATGTTCTAAGGGCAAACAATAAGAAGGTACAACCTATTCATCTAGTCACAGATATTCATATTCTTTTTTCTAATTGATAAGGTTCAGAGTTTGTTGTTGTTGCAGAATGATTATGATAATTCATGACTTGTTGATTTTAGGATATTACTTTTGTTTCCTTGATGTGTTAAGAAATCAGCTCTATTGCAGGGCTTATGACTATGATCTTGATCTTTTTGCCAAGTATTTCTGACTTAAAGAAATTTGAGAAGATAGAAATTGTTCAGGATGTACTTTAATGTAATTAAACTTTCAGAATAATTTTAATTGTATGTAGATCAAGACAGATAAGGAATTACACACATATATATTAATCTCATTAATCTACATTGATGGGTAAGAGACCCACTGTACATTACTGAATTTTACATTTCAACTGTATTGCAGTTAGTCTGTACAAACTCTTGAAAGTGAATTCATTACTGTATCCTGTAAATGAAGATTGATATACTAATAGGAATATATTTTCTTCATAACATTAAGATTTGCAACATATTATTTTTCAGCTATATTAGCAGAACTTATCTATCAAAATTTCTTATCAAAATCTCATTGTAAAGTACAATCGAATCTTTCTCAAATAGGAGAAATTCTGAATGTTTTCTGAGTAGCAAAACAAAAATATTGGAGGAATAGGGTCAAAATCATGGTTTTAGCTTCAATGCTGTAAAATCAGATTGAATTATGTTATTACACAAATTAAGCATTATTTATTATGAATCATTTAACTAGTTTTGCTTATAGTTCTTTCATATTTTGGAGCAGACTTCTCTATCTAATGGTCTTCAGTGACTATGGGGCTATAAACCTCGGGATTCAACATAGTCCTTAGGGATGCTGAATATGAATACTAGGAGTTGCAGTCCCAATCCCTCTGGTGGAGTAGAAAGCCATTGAAATCCATGCTAAATTAAGCTTATTAATTTTAATAGCAGTGATTCAGCAATATTATTGTGCAAAAAGGATGTGAGGCATAGACCTTGGGCTGTGCTTCTCAAAAGTTTGAATTTCTGAAGCAACCTGTGATATGACCACCAACATTGTACTGTAGGTGGGAAGGAATGGGTGAAAAAGCCCAGTTATCTAGTGGTTCTTTTCAGCTTCCCATCTGTTCAGCCCTAGAAATGTTTTTTTCCTGAACTTACTACTCCACAATAGAGAATTCATTCAGTTATGAAATCAGCATTGCCCCAGTTTCATAAATCCTACTCAGTTGTTTATGGCTGCAGTCTTAGATGCCATCCCATTCAACTTGGAAGAACTAGTTTTTCAGAAGACATACCTAGGAAGCGTGGCATCATCATATGTGTCTGTGTCCCAATATATAGTACTACCACAAAAATACTCTTTCAAAATGAGCGGTGAGCAAAAAATGTAATTATTGATTTTCTTGGAAAACAGAATTTGTTTTCCTTTTTCCCATAAGAAAGACGTTTTAACTTCTTTCTCATACATCTATATATGTATATATTGCAAATTAAGATGTGCCCATGTACATTTACATTTTATATTTGTATTTTACAATATATTTGTTCTATCCAGCTTCAGGATCAACTGTGTGAAAAAGACAAGGAACTGAAGACACTAAAGCTGGACTTAGAGCTACACAAGAGTGTAGCGGAAGCTAAGATTGCAGAAACGGCTGCAGGTAAGCAAGCATTGAACAGATGGCAATATGGCTCTTGGTTGCTATATTGCATGGCCCCATTTGATATATTTACTAAAGGAGGGCTGGCTTAGCTTTTTATATATATATGAGGCTATTTAAAGTTGCTTAGAAAATAGGTGGCTTTAACATCCTGGTACCGGTATTAGTGGAAGCTTTACCTGTATTCATACTGATTTTGGCATTAAATGCATTGTTAACACCATGTCAATCCAATCACAAAAACATTATTTGTTTTGTTGGAAGGTCCTGTACAAACAAGGGAAATAATGATTACCACGGTCACTACCTTTCCAGCCAGCAGTTCAAATACTCATTTATTGTTTTAGTTCATTCAGAGTGATGTTGCCTCCACACATCTTTGTTGGAGATACTATTATAATCCTCCCAATGGGAGAACTGACCCTCATTTTGATAGATGGAGAAATATGATTTTTGATTAATGAAAACCCAGCTACTTAAGAATGGTAGAAAACTGGATAGATAGTAAGATAAATAGATAGAAAACTGATTCAGTTGAAAAAATCAACTGGATTTTCACAGTGTGTTTCAATAGCACCAACGAAGATAGGCTAGTCACTGTACACCTTGGGAAAAAATAGTTACCTCAAATATATAGATTTGTTTTGTTTGTTTTTAAAAGCTCTCATTCCAAAACACCTGAATAATAGTTATGTCTGGATTATCAATCAACTATACAGTGCATTAACTGTTTGAATTAAATGCAACAAATAACTTTGTTTTTTAGGGCATTTGCACAGAATTTTGCCTCTCTGTCTATAATGGTGAAATATTTTATTTTATATTCTTTCTTTGTCAATGAATCCTTAGAGGCAAACTGGAAAGCCACATGTTTTGATGCACAGAAGTAGAATTCTGTGCAGATTGCTGGTTATTAGGACTTACTAGTGCAAGGTTTCAGAGGCAATTTCTTTAAAGTACTTGGGAGCTCATGGGAATGGAGCTGTAATGTCAATTTGCAGACTTTAAAGCAGCTGTATAGTCTCTGGGAAAGATGTGGCTGCTTTAAGGTATCCAACATTCATAGCAAGGTACAAACATTAATCAAAGGTGCTAGTTTAGAAAAAGAAAACATGTTTTGGAGATCAGATCTAGACCACTGCTCAGCCTTATGGAAATTGCTATTCCATACAAGTGAGTTTAATATGTCTTTTGGTTCTTTGCTGAATTTTTATATTCATTCTCTGTCACACACAAAAAATCTCAAAAATGATTTTAATATAAGTGTCTAGATCCAAAGAATTTTATCTTATTTTTCTTTTTAAAAATCTATCAAACGTTATTGAGATTTTCTCTTACTTTCTGTTAATTATTGTTCTTTACACATGGCAAAAATATTAGAAGTTTGTAGTTCTCTGGGTTATATTTGCATTGCACTGTTGTTTTCAGAGACCAAGTTTCAGCTAGATGATATATGCACAGACGTTAGGTTACACTGCATGTAAGACTGTGACAACATCACAAGATAAGGTTATAATAAAATGCACATAATCTTTGGGAAAAATGTCAAAAAATAATAAAGTTCCATGCTTGAAAGACATTGGTAATATAAAATTGACAGGAGGAAGAAAACAAACTATTGTAGAAGCTGTCTGAAATATGAAGAAATGAAATTAGATTTTTACCTAACATCACTGATGAAGCTGGTTGCATCTGAAATTCAGAAATGGCTTGCCTGAAGTAGAAAGTTAACGTTTCCAGCTTGCATTCAGCTCTGCAGAGCATATGCTTATATCTTTTGTTAGATTGATGATGATGTTTGAGAAGAGGTTAGGAGGAGGAAAGAGTATGAGAGAGCAGATGGAGAAATAAAAACAGCAAAGCAATAGGAAAACATCCCACTAATATGGAGGCCCATCTGTAGTTATCATACAGAGTAAATAGGCATAGATCCGAAGCTCAGATGAAATGCAGTGAACAGGATGAGATACTTGGACACAGGACTGGTATCCACACATTATCCAAGCAGCCAGTAATCCAGCAGCTTTAAGCAGGCCTCAGTGTTTTTTGTATCTGCAAAGAAATAATGACAAGAATGACTTAACGGCAGCATAAGTGAAGAGCTGGCTCAAAATTATTATATTGGTATACTTTTCATGCTTTTATGTGAAGTTAGACTTTGGGTTGGGCATCTTTGTCTGCTTTCTGCCTTTTTAGAATTGCTCTGACTTGATTGATTAGCCAGTTCTCTTAACAATCTCCGTTTTCTGGCCACTAGAGGGTGCTGTTCCTTCTTAGTGTGGGATTTTTAGAGGTAACCACTTCATACTCTTTCCGAGCTTAACTGTGGTTGAAGAAAAAGCAATATATCTAAGGTGGGAAGTGAACGTACTATTACTTGGGATGGAAGAAGAGGATTCAAACCTGAAAAATTCAAATATGAGGAAAAGCAAGTAGAAAAAAACCTGAAAGGCTTATGAAGAAAAATCTTTCAGATATTTCTCTAGTAGTGCAAAGAGCGGGGACAGGAACAGCACAGATACTCCATAGTTTTTTTTCTAAAACAGATAATTGAAAAGAGATGAATAGGTGAAATAGTCTTCATCATTACTAGTGTAAGTATTTTGGAATCAGCTACATGAAAAGAAATTCAAAGTATCCGTTGCTATACTTTGATTAGTGTCTCTTTATTTTTTTATCAAGCACTATCTTTTCTTCCCTTTCGTTACAAATTTTAAATGGCTGAGTTAAAGGCTCATTACCTCTAACAAACCTCTTGTAGAGGACATCATATATTTCCTTAATTTAAACTCAATTTGGGGAATTAAAAATGCAGGTTTGCTATTGTAGCTTGATGGTTCGCAGACATCACCAAATACTTAACCTTTTAACTTGGTTGCGCTATCAATGCCTTCCATTTTGTTATGGTCCCTTGCCTTTCTAAGGCAGCCCCAGGAATGGTCAGGAATGATATTGGTTGCAGCCAAACATCTGGAGACATACTGCTAGATAGGTTGCTTCAGTTCAAGAGAGCCTAGCATGCTCAGAATCATCCCAGGAATAAAAGTGATAATTCTTCTCTGAAGAACAGTATTTGGAGATAATGTTACCTCCCTTCTTTTGCATCGTTTCTCATTTTGAGCTCTCTCATGTGGGCTTTGTGGGCTTTTATGCTGGTCCTGGTCCTATGAAACCTGACTGCTATTCTCTCCTAGTCTGCCTAGGAGCTATTTTTACCCGATGCCATTGTTCTCAGTTCTCCCTGTTTCTCTAACCTCCTGTCTCTCAACAGCTCCATCACTCTGCTCCTGCTTGCTTTCCATTAGCTCCATATCTATTGTTCCTCACTCACCTGCTTCTGACATCTCTGCTCTTTGCTAACAGTGGGGGTAATATGCAGGCTTTCATTCTTTCAGCAATGTGCATGCTGTAGTGTAGACGTTTACACTGGCCAGGCATTAACGCTTTCTGCCTGCGTTTTTTAAAAAGATTTTAAAAAATTGACACCAATTCCACCCAAGCTCTGGGTCTAGGAAGAATAGAGTTATGAAGGCCCAGTGACAGAGATTATCCCATTTTCTGTGATGGGCTTTGGGCAGCTCTTACTGGATGTAACATAGGGAAAATAGGCACAAACTGTGTACATCTGAAAAGCCCCATGAACCCCGAATGACCAGAATTTGCCGAGAGTTATTTTTTGCAGGCCCCCTCAATAAGATAACTGTACACCACTTCAGTAAATCTTATAAACCACCTTAAAACTCTTTTTAACTTGTTCCACACTTGCAATAACAGGGCAGGGTGTTCCAGATAAACACTGCCAGCCAGTTAGTTAATATTTGTTGTTTCATTAAAGTCCTTGGCACTTGGCCATGCTATACTGAGAAAAGATATTGGCTGATTTAAGGGTCTAACAATTGCTACTGTTTGAAACAGGAATTACTATTTGGAGAATAATAAACAGCAATGTTTCAAAACTTTCCCCCCCTCGCATTGTATGTAGGAATAATGTCTCACCTCGCTAAGACCCTTCAGCCGTTATTATCATTATAAGCATATGCAACACAAATCAATCTATAATCTTAAATGATAAGAAATAGAAGAGACTCTGAACTAAATATAAATTTGCCTTAATTTTTAGAAGAGCAGACAATTTGCTGCATGTACCTTAGAACTGAAAGCTATCTCAAATTCAAAATATAGAAAAATAGATTCTAGGTTAAATGTGTTTATTAATAATACCACTACTTTACATGAGATGAAGTTCTGAGAAACTTTTAAAACTATACAAAAGCTGAAATATGGCAAATGGTTTATTATTTTAAAACTATACAGTGGTTATATCTCATTTATTTAAATAAATGCTTTTGCACAATTATCTTACATTGTTATTTAGAAGACTGCGCCACTGTGGCCTCACTATTTGGGCCTTTGATACTTCCTGTAAGATAGTATTGGTCTAAATATAAAGGGAATTTTCAGATTTATTTTGGCAGAGATGCAGATTCACATCTGCTCTTTGATATGCTTCCTTACTGTCCCGTTGAAAATTTTTAACATCACTATGCCACTCTTTCTGTCAGTCCTTCAACTAAAGTATTAAAACTATGAAACAAGACAAATGGTTTAGTTTTTAAAATATTTCTGAATCAATTTGAAACAATTTTATTGCAGTAAATAATTAGTTTGTGCTTGGTCCAGTCAGAAACAAGAAACAAATAGTGCTAAAGTTCTTTTAGCACTGGATATTTCCTTTTACCTTTTGTCTCCACTGAAGAGAAAACTATATTTTTAGCTCACTTTGGTCTTTCTTTTTAGATGCCATTTATTTTTTCTTCTTGCATGTCATCCATTAAAGATTAGCTGTGGAAGGTTGAAGCATGGAGAGATTATGAATGACAGAACAACTGCTGCAGAATAATAATCAGTTTTTGATATTTAATGCTGTTTGACTTTTGCAGACACATTTCTTATTAACCTTTGCTACAACGAGAAATCCAGGTTCCCAATACCTCATGGAG